TTCAAAAATACTGTTTTATAATTATTTTTAAATCTTTTGCATATTTTTAAACCAACTGTGAATAGCTTTTCCTCTAATTGTTGGTTTAAAATTTGTGAATTATTTTAATAATTACAAAATATTATTTTTGGACTAAATTTGTCTTCTAGTTATTCACTGAATCAAGGGGAATTGAAAAAGGCAGAACAAGACACAAACATACAGTATAACTATACTTAATAAAAAGCTTTTATTAAATTCTCACAAAAGGAAAATCAACGGGAATAAAAATAAGCATCTGTGCCTTAAAAACAAAATTACATTAATCTATATGAATAAAACTAACAGTGTTTGGATGTTTGTTGCCACATCATGGAAAAAACACCTGAATATATTTTAATTGAACTTAATATTATGAATCTCTAGATTCAAAAGAAGGTTTAAACATACATGATCTCAAAATCTACATTATATAAATTAAACTGTAACAGATTTCTGTTTGCTAGATGTAACACACATAAATCAGCAATTATCTGTCAAGCAGCTATTTATAAGAAAGTTGCACTATTAAACTTTCTTATAGATAGTATTATGTTTGGAAAACAAAGTAATTAGTGAGAAATTAGCAAAACATGTGAGAAGTTGGAAAAAGTGACATCACGTTGCTGTGCTAGATGGTACTACATTTATGCATGGAAGATATTTTATTAGTGTCTCATGTGTTCTTGATTACTTTGGATCCATTTTTGTATAAGTTTTATTTCTATAAATTGAATTTTTCATAAATAATGTATTTTACAACAGCAGAAATTAAATGAGGATTGTAATTCTACATAATCTTATTTTGTGAAATTTTTAAATAAATTTTAATAACAGCAATAAAAAAAGTTTATACATATACTATGTTTCATAATTATAATATACATAATTAAAAAGATAATCTTCAAATAAAATAGCATGAATGTATTTATTGACATAATTAAACTTTTTGATACAATATTTCATTTATAACAGTTGATGCAAAATAGTCTCTTAATACATGTCTATTAGTAAAATAAAAATAAATTAGGTAGAATTTTACTTATGGAGCCCCCTATGGCAGCACTTCTGGAATCTCAACAACATAAATCTTAGAATAGTTATAATACATGTCACAGTTAGCTTAAACTATTACCTCATGTACACTGGTGGTTTCTAGGTTAAGTTCAAACCATTTCACATTTTAGGTAGTGAGTTAATAGCCCCCTGAAATCACATAGTGTCATTAAGACTATCGCATTTAATTATTTAGCACACTGCAGCTTTGTGAAGTCCAGTTGACTGTTTGTGGAGTACTTGATGTTATACAGTTTAAGGGAGTGTGGGGGCTTACCCCACCTGTGCACTGAGGTGCTCACTCTCGCTCGCACTGAAGCGCATGACTATATGTGGAGTATTGGTCAAGGCTAGCAATAGAGAGTCTTGACAACGCAGAGCATGGCAAATAGGTGGTAGTACTGGCACTCAGGAAAAACTGACCTTTGGAGTTCCTTCAGCCCTGAAAATTATCCCGAAGAAGTCTGAATATTGTAAGCGGAAGCTTATCGACAAGTGTGTTAGAAAACTGAAAAAATACCTACAAAGGAAGTTGAATTTACAAAAGATTCAGCTCAACCCTATTCTTTACCAAAAAAAATGAAAAGAAATTATAAATATGTCAGCAGTGAGTAAAATTTGTTTTATTTAAATGTCTGTGTAGTTAGTTGAATGTCTGCACCAGTTGTCGTCTTGTTTGTGAATATCATGTTCACGAACAAGATGGCAACCAGAAATGCCCCCATAGGGGTTTCGGAAGTAAGATTTTACCATAAATTATTATGATAAAATTTGACATACATGTTTAACAAAAGATGTTTAATGTATTTTTATTTCAAAAATGATTGAATCTACTCTCCAATATGTTATATTTTAAAACAAATTTAACATGCAAAAATTTTCAAATAGTTTTTTCTAAAATTCTGAATGAAATTAAAACATTATACTCTAATTTAACACTTACTGCAAGAAGTCTTCCTTAAGTAATAACATGTGAGATATAATACTTAAAATAATACACTGAATTTATATTGTAAGTTTATCCTCATTTTAAATATTTGCTATAGTTTATATATATATATAGAATATATAGAGAGAGAATTATAAAATATTTCATCACAATTCTCATTTATCTTTTTACTATAGAAGTTATTTACACATTAACAGGGAAACTCCACTTACACTTTTATAAACTTTTTACTGCCAAATTTCGTATTGATAGCAAATTAATTTGACACACTGTCTTTTGTAAATATATTCAAAATAAAACATTATTGACTGATAAAATTTTGAGTAAATTTGGACTTAAATATTTTCCAATTATTATAAAATTTAAGTAAATATTTTATATAAACCAAACAATTGCAGTAAGGTGTTGGGCTATTTTTCTGTTACTATAATTAAATTATTAAATAATTTGGAATTAGACCTAGGCATTAGATGCTATCTATTATTAAATTTAATAATAATAATAAAATTATTTAACAAAATATTAATATAATTATTACATTTAATAAGAGATGGCACCTAATGCCTATCTCTAATACCAAATTACTTAATTTTATTATTAATAGTAACAGAAAAACAGCTAGATACATAGCAATCATTTGGCTCTGATAAATAATGTAGAGTTTAAGATGTTTATATATAAATATTTTATCATTTCATATTTACTTATTAGAAGAATTTAATATTTTATAACTTATTAAATATTTACAAGCATTGTTCTGTGTTCAAAAGAATTTAGAAGCTGAAGAAGAGGACTTAAGACTGCCAAAAATATTTGTTCTACAGTGTAAATATTTGACTTTACTGCTAGAGTTTGGGTATATGATATAAATTTATTTTACCATTAATTAAAAATTAAAACATTTTTGCATATTAGATTTTTGCATATTACACAATTTTTTTTATAACACATTCAAAATCAGTAATATTTCATTAAACTAAATGAAAATAAAAATAGACTACAACTCATTCATTTAATTTGAATTAAAATAGACAATTAAGCAAAATACCATAATAGCTGCATAACTAATTACTAGTAAATAAAAAACTGAGAACTTAGGTAATAATTTTAGAATTAAATCAAATCAATGGATGAGATATTAAATTCTTGTAATTAATTCAAATATAATGATGCATATTAATTTAAAATTCATATATGAATACATACATACATACAGGAAAATCATCATTAATTTGAACTTGGATAGTACAAAATCCTGTTAGTTCATAACTGTACTTTTGTCTCGGCTGGGAATATAGAGATTTACATGTTAAAGAATTCTGTTAGTTAGAAATAAGACTACTTCAAACTTTGGAGAGAAAAATTCTGTCTGAACTGTGATATGCATATGTTAATTTGTTTGTTTAGATTGAAGTGTCTCCATATTATAAGAGAACAATAAACAGAGAACAACTCTAATCTAGTTAATATGGCTATGCTTTTACAGTAAAACATTTTTAGGTGTCACCTTACCCATGAACTACCACTTTTTCCTCTCTTATCTCACAAAATACAGCTGGTTTTCAGGATTGCAAGATTGGGCTGCAAGTAGCAGATTGAGATATTCGTAGGGCTCTAGGTTCCTACAATTGGGAGACTTACTACTTTTAGGACCACTTTAAAAAATACAGTAAGTTAGGCTACATTCTGAGGAATTCTGCTTTCTGAGGAATTCTGCTAGATAGGTTTTATGAAAACCTATCTAGCAACCTGTGAAGTTTTCACCAGACACATGCTGCTTACCTGCAGTTTATTTATATTATTATTATTAATTAACAAAAATAGCATTCTGTATACATAGCCATATTTCATTTGCTTAATAAATTGCATCAGTTACATGGCATTTGGCATATTGTAAAAAAATATGTAAATCTCAGATAATTTGAAGTCACGATTATTTCATCTCTTAAATTTCAAACTATTGAGGATTTCCTGTACATGCATATCTTCATACTCATAATCCAAAAAGCATGAGCAACAAACAAAAGGAGACAGCATCTTTCTCTATCTTCCTTCCAGAATTTCAAATAATTAATGACACCATCTTTTCTTCAAATTCACATCTCTTCTAGCACACTTCCTCACATTCACTTTCTGACACAACACTTATGTAATTTCAGATACGCATCCATTTGTTCTAACCAAGACTTTTTTGGCCTTCCCCTATTGCACTTTCCATCCACCTTTCCCATGTATACTCTCTTCTTATACCGTTCTTCTTTCATTCTCTCAACATGGCCAAACCATGTTGAGAGAATTCATAGGGCCAATTTCCCCACTCTTAATCACATTCTCTTTCACTCAACACTCCTCCAGCACTTGTTCATTTCTCACATAGTATCTCCTTGTAATGCCACACACTTCTTTCAACTACCTCATCTCACATGCAGTAACAAGACTCCTGTGACTCTTCTATCATACCAAAGTTTTGCTACCATACATGAGCACAGGAACCACAATGCTTCCGCTCAACATATTTAAATATTGAATAGTAAATGAAACTGAACATAAAACCAATATTACTAAATTTCAACAAAGTAATGAGATTACTTTCTATAATTTTTTTTCTATTTATAACAAAACATTTTATGTCAAATTAAATAATTCATTGAACTAGTTATATGATAATTTATATTATATTGCAGATTTGTACTAACTATTCAATTTCATCATTGTAGCAACTGTCAATGCATTTTCATATTAACCTACATAAACAACTGAACTTATTACAAAAAATTTTATCTGCAACAAATACTTGCAAATTTAATTTATTACACACAATTACATTGCATGATGACAAATCAGAAGTGGGATAAGAATAAAGGAAAGCAAAACACTTACGAATATGGAAGTAAGACAAAATTCATATATATAAACTAATTGTATATATATATATATGTATATATATAATTTCAATGAGATAGTAAAAATGCATTACCTTTTCCAATTTCGGTTTCTTGGCCTTTCTACTTTCCACAATATAATCACTATCATTGTCTGAATGGACTCCAAGTAAATTACTGTCACTATCCTGTTGAAATAAATTTCATTTAATATTTCATTAATATTTTAATATTGTTTTTAGTAAATGTTTTAAACTTTAATTTATTAAAAAATTAATTTAAAATTTATCGAATAAGTTAAATTATATTTTTAAAAAATTCTTATAAAATTAATACTTAATAAAGTGTACTTCACTAGCAGCACTATAAACATGAAGCTGGAATCAGATGGATTCCAAAAACGTTTGTGAATTGTAACATTTTACATGTTTTGCCTGAAGCTAAACAGATTTAGTAGTCTGAAGATTCACATTTAAGTTGTTCTCATTTTGTTTTCACTCTGAAGAAACTTGCAATTGCAAACAAAAAATGTAATAAATCTTTATAATTTAATGTTACTGCTAAATATTTATGCAATTTTAGATAAATTATTACTGGCCTATTATTCCAATATTCCTCCAATGCTCCTTTTCTAATCATTGATAAAAATGTGAATATAAAGTATTAAAAGTTCTGATAGTTATTGTTAAAATTGTGTAAAATTCTCTTAATATTTGAATAATTCACAGTTTAAAAACATTTAGGCATTATGCATGAAACTAACAACAAGATCTTAAACATAAAAGTAATAATAATATAAACATTTTAACTAAATTTATGTACAGGGATTATTCCCTTATATGCAAATAAAGTTTGATTGATTGATGATAATATAAACATTGCATTTTTCATAGATAAAATTTAAAGACATTTCAGATTTGCATGAAGATATCTGTGTCACTGATCCAAATTTAAATACACACACACACATAAAATAGTTAACAGTCACGTAACAGAAGAAATGTAAATAACGAAAAATTTACTAAATACACTTTCATACTAGAATTGTAATAATTATTTTAAAATTAATAATTGTATATAAATATTCCATTTGAACTTATACATAAATATTAAAGAATCTACATTCACACTAAATCACTATATGAACAATTTAAATGAGCAACATTACACTTCATTACTAAATGATAATAAACCCCTTTAATCAGAAGCAATAAAATATTTATTTATATTTCAAATACAAAATATAAAAATATTCCATGTTCCATTTCCTGAAACAAGTAGTTTTGTATTTGAAATATAAACATCTTCAGCACATGTGTAAATGTAGCATCAAATAATTGGACTAGTTAACCATTCTAACTATTCTATGCTCCATTCAATTTACACACATGCTGAAGACAGCTTGAAGTGATACTGAAAAAAATTATGTAATAAATATTCTTGGTTTCATGTAATAAGCATACTATTTCTACTTAATATACTTTTATTGTTTATATTTATTTGATAATAATATACAGATATCCCACATATAACAGTAGTTAGGTTCTGAAAAAGTGCCATGTTATGCAAATCCATGCCATACAAAACATTAGGCTAGGTTCCAACATCAGCAAAAGTATACTATTCTTTTTTTTTGTTTGGAACTAAGAGAAATTTGCTTATTAAAGCAGTCAATAATTAGCAAATTATTGACTGCTTTAATAATTGACTTAATAATTGACAAATTATTGACTGCTTGCAAATAATTGCTTAATAAAGCAGTCAATTAAAGCAGTCATAAACAAAAGTATTGCACACTAATATTAATTTTTTTTCAATGCTAAACACCATTAAACAAAGACATTTTCTTTTTGGCAAAATATCATCATCATCTGAGCTTTCCTGTTGATCTTAATCTGAAGAATCAACAACATCTTGATTTTTCTGTTGTTTTTTTCCACAAAATCAGATATTTTCATTTGTTTGTATTTGCTTAAGAATCTTTAAAATTTTAATTTTATTTGTATTATAGTAACTTTTAATTTAATATAAGGGACACTGGAAAGTAATGTCATATTTGTGCATATCAACACTTATTCGATGCTAATCAGTTGATTGCATACACAGAAGTTGTGCAAGATATTTTTGCAAGTGAAAGTGACTTCATTTCTTTCATTTTACAAATCAATTTCATTTTTATAACATCCCTGTTTGAAATGTCAAGCCAAAAACCAGAGTTGCATATTTGACATTGTATGTTATTCGAGTTTCAAAGGTAGTGATGCAACAAATGCAACAAAAAAACATTCATGATGTTTATCCAGCCACATTAGATGTCCATAAATGCCAAAGGTGGTTTACTAGGTTCAGGCCAAGTAATTTTGATCTTTGTGATTTGCCTCACTCAGGAAGACCAATGTCTTTTGATAATGATGCTTTATGAGCAGAAGTGAAAGCAAATTCTTGTCAAACGATTGAAAAGTTATCAGATAAGCTTAACATATCTTGGTTGACCATTCAAGAACATTTGAAGCAGATTGGTAAAGTTAACAGAGAAGGTATTTGGGTTGAACACACACTGTCAGAAGAAAACAAAGCTAATCATTCAATCACCTGTAATTTGTTGTTGCAACAACATAATGCAGAAGCATTTCTTGATCACGTAGTGACTGAAGATGAGAAATGGGTCCTTTTTGATAATCCAAAATGTAAAAGAAAATGCCTCTCCCCAATCAAACCTCATTAGCTACCCCAAAGCCAGGCTTACACCCTAGAATTATACTGCGTATCTGGTGCAATACTCTGACCATAATTCACTTTGATATGCTAGAACCAGATCAAACCATAACTGCAGACCTTTATTGTCAACAATTAGATCGAGTAAATCAAGCTTTGATTGAAAAGTATCCGACTCTTGTTAACAGAAAAGGTGTCATTCTACAGCATGACAATGCAAGACCACACTTTTCAAGACTCTGGGATAAAATCAAAGAATTGGGATAGGAGATATTACCTCACCCATCTTATTCACCTGACAGTGCACCCTCAAATTACTATTTATTGAGGTCTTTGCAATATTTTGAGGGGTAAAACATTTTGAAATGTAAAAAAAAGTCAAAAATAGAATTTCCAATTTCTTTGATCAAAAATCATCCTTGTTCTACAGATCTGGAATTGAAAATTTGTCCACTAGGTGACAAAAGATCATTGATAACAAGATTGATAACATCATTGATTCAAATTAAAAATATATTATTATTTTAATTTGACAAAAATATACGACATTACTTTCTGGACCTGTTACATATAAAAACAAACCACAGTCTTTCAGGTTCATTTACAACACTCGCCCAATGATAGTGACACCTAGTTTATAGGATAGCTAAAATAGGAAGTTAGAACAAGGAAAAAAATTTTACAATCAGTTCTCATTAAAGAAAAGCAGGTGAAAGGCACAAAACATTAAAAATTTCAATATTCTAAAATCTGTGGGCAAATACAAGAGAATGCACATACTTGTTTGAATAAAAAAAAATCTAATGACAGTGTTTGCACTTAAAAATTGTGATGTTTTGTATTATGAAGAAGATGTTCTCCAATTATTGAACTATGTTAGAGTGAAACAGTATTGTAGGAATGTTGTTTTGTATAGAGAGATACCTGTATATTTAAATAATGAATCTAATATATAAACATCCTAAAGCCCGATGTACTAATAATAAATCAAATGATTTCCATAATTAATCAGGCTATTTTTTGTTACTATTAATTAATAATTAGATATTAAGTAATTTGGTATTAGAGGTAGATATTAAGCATCC